AGGCGCTGGTGGTAACGCCGATTAGTGGTGATAATTTTAGAATTATCCCAACTAATTGTATGGTTAGTTAGACAATTGGTGAAACATTGAAGTGCTCTAGAACTTATACGTTCCATTATTTTATGTCTCAGAAAACGTTGCACTAATATATAAAATCAGCGCTATCATGTTCATTCATCTGCGATTTCATTGCACAAAGATGTAAGCGTTTGGCTGAAAAAAAAAATAATCAGACGCCACGCTTCGCGAAAATCAGGGAAAAGAGGGCCTTTACTGTTTTCCGTAGCGCCTATTTCAAAAAGCCTTTTTTATTGCTTTTCAAAGCTTTAATTTCAAATGTGAAGGACAAAGAGTTTATTTTGTACATCATTTCCTACCTCAGCTGTCTCGCTTTGGCCCCCAAAAGATCGCCCATGGCTGATACAACGGTGATAAAGAATGTACGACGAAGAATAACCCCATGTCCTCAAAATCATTTTGCCTTTTCGTGAACGTTTTTGTGGTAGTTAATATTGCCATATTCAAAACAAAATTCGTGGCAGGTACTCGTCATTTGGACAGCAGCATAATATTATATTTTAGGAGGGTTGATTCACTGTGGACTTTACTGTCAAAAGAAAATTATTGGTCAACAACATGCGAGCTTTGCTCTCTACTGCTTATAGAATCGGCCTCTTCCAACCCGAATCGAATAGCTAGTTTTATGGCAAATTTCAAGTTTCATTTCTACAGCTACAATTGAGACAGTTACTGAAACTTTCAGGTGCTCTAATTTAAATTCGGTTTGCTATCTAAGTCGTAGCTGTTTCTCTTCTTATGCATGCTAATGACTTATATTGCCTTTTGTTCCAGCCGTATCACCGCAACTTAACACAAACTTCAGGATAAATTTTTTGGTAACGACAATGGAAAGTTATTAACTCATATTGGACAGAATCTTAATTGTTAGCCGTGAAAGCCAACACCTCTTTGAGACTCTGTACACATAAACATAAGCCCTGTATAAAGGTTGAGGTCTTTGGTATATTTACATTTAAAATATAACAGACGGCAATGGATGAATAATTTATAATCTTAAACATTCAAGGGATTAATGATTTAATGTCTGAAAAACTGTTCGACTACTGTTCAATGCATTACTTAAGTGATCTCTGATGCAGGTTGCTGGCTAAGGGTGCAAATCATTTTACACCAGCTTTTTTCCGAGAAAGATGGATCAAACTGTCAGTTGCTGTGTCCTGGTTCTTGCTTCGAGGAAACGAGGAAATAGGGGCCATTTCAGTGACAACTGCAAACGTCCTTTGTCTCCCCTGCTATTTCTCCCGCTTCTACAGTGGTGAGTTACAGCCTGGAACAGGCTCCTAAAATGACATCTACGGTGGAAAATACGATGGTGTCACAGTTTCTCCAGAAAATCATTTAATCTTTACCAATTGATGCAAATTAAAAACCTCCTCCCAGTGAAAGTTTTAATCAGACAGTTCCGGCGTCTTTCTTCTCGGTGCTCCTAACTTTACATTGGCTACAAACATTCTGGAATATATCTAATGTATGACCTGATCGAAATATTTGGTCATGACTCGAGGGCATGTTGGCCAGGAACTCGGAACATATCAGTTTCCTGCCACAAGGAAAATGAAGGGAATGCGTCGATGAAAATTGACCTTTTTATCAAATGGTATAGACATGCGCCATAAGTACTATTAGCGACATAGAACTCTCCTCAGGGAAGACTTCATATTTCCTCCATAATAACCATACAACAGAGGATCTAACCCAGCATTGAAAAAGATTAAAAGCTGAGAAATCCTCCAAACTAAACCAGGGGACGCCAAGTGGAATTGAAGCAGCGTTCGTATGACCATGAACGGGGACCAACACATCACAAACGCTGTACTAAGAGCGACGAGTGTCTTGGCAGCCTTCCTGTGGCGTTTATTTAATTGCAAAATAAAACACGAGGAGTTTCTGATTATAGGCACAACTCGCAGAGAACGATAAATGCGGCTCTGTGTAATTATCATATACAACATCGGTATAACAAAGAATATTGTTGTGTGAACACTATAAAAAATTTGCGGAATTCTATTTCCCCTCGTCGTCGTAACACAAACAACGTCGCCGTTTTCATTTGTTTTAACGCGATAGATATATACCAAAGGAGAGCATACAAGCAAGCTAGAAGTCCACATTAAAATGAGTTTTATGCGTTGACTTTTGCTCCAGCTGCTGATTCGAACGCTGAATGGGTCGACAAGAGCCCGAAGTCTTTGGTGGCTTATGGCCACAAGTGTAGTTACTGAAGTTGTGTAGCTCGCCTCGAGCAAGAATCCTTGGAGTTTGCAGGTAATGTTCCCACCGATCCACTGTTCCAAGAATCCGATACCATTAAAAATCGTTAGGAAAGTAAAGAGAAGATCTGCCGATGCTAAATTTGTCAACAGCAACATGAATGGATAGTATCTTTGTTTCAAATTCTTGTAGCAGCGTAACAACACCCAAGTATTGCCAATGGTCGATAGCATGAAACACGTACTGTAAAATACCGAGAATGACACCAAAATGGCTATAGGAAAGTCGTCACTTGTCGTCATAGTTTAAGTAGACTGAGAGGCCTTGACAAAGAATATTCTAGAATCACACAAAACCTGTCGACCACAATCGAGTTCAGTCAAAGTTCTGACTGCCTTGGCAGATATGAATGTCCGAGTGTTATGTCGCTCAGAGAACCCAGCACAATACAAATATATATATATATTCACACTAGTTGTTTTCTTCTCATTCACAGATTAATATAAAATTTAACATTTGACGGCTAGCCGTTTCCCTAAGTAATTATACTTTTTCTGCTCAGTTTGCTCAGCCCTTTCAATTCTGTAACAATCCAAATTAAATACTGTCTTAAAATTTGCATGCTCATTAGAAATTTTTCTTTTTTATTTTATCTTTGAAGATCGGGCGGGCCTTTAGAACTCGCAAAGTCACTTTACAATTTGAAATTTTAAGATTTCGGTTTTTTGATCTAATATTCAAATAAGCAGATACAGAAGTGCACTAGAGAACTGAAAATAAACTAAGTTGTGGGTAGATTTTATTGAGGAAATGAAATGCTAAAATGTTTATTCAGCTTCACACCTACGTGCAACTGTTGAGCTAAAGCGCCAACCGTTTATTGGGATAAATCTTAAAAAAAGCTTGTCTGTTCTTGAGATTGTCCAGCGACTGACAATAAAACTTCATTTTCAAGGTTACGAGGAATTGTGAAAAGGCCATCTGCTGGTGGATTGCGCTTAGAAGGGCGCAAAAATAAAAAGGAAACTTTGAGAACGGAGTAAAAACAAGAGCCTTCGTCGCTATGGTGTAACGTTTTGTGTCATTGCTTTTCCAATTTAAACAAACCCGGAAAAATATGGATGGTGAATCTATCGAAAGCGATAAAAAGGCGATATGTGAATCGAAAAGAAATTTCATTTGCTTCAATGGTAGATTGTAGTTTTCAATTTTGGCCGGATTGGATCAATTTGCTCAGACTCTACACCTGGTGGTAATCATCACTGAAAAACATTTCTGGGTTTAAGCTCCAAGCTTTCATAAAGAAATGTGATCGATATCGCGGATGTGAAGTAACAAAATGGAGATATTTTTCCA